TACCAATACCTGCGTCTTAGTCAGCTGCAAATCGGCCTGGGTGCTACAGTGTTCTCTGGCCTGTGAACTCTTTGTGCTGGGACAGTCTTCTTGCTTTCTTACATTCTAGCTTGTTGAGAGCAGGGACTTGGCCATCTAGTTTGTGGCTGGCGAAGAACTCATAGCATTCCAAGGTGGCCTGATACTTACGTGTGTGTGTCTGCTGGGACAGACTTGCATATCTGGGAGTCCTGAGTTCTCTCCAGCTTGTGGGGTCAGAATACACCCTCACAGGATCACCACATCATAGTATCTCCGTATCACACAACGCCCCACTCTCTTTCACACTACAGCCTACATGCTTTGAAGCTGACCTTGATCACCTAACTCCTAAATTCACCCAGAATATCTGCCTTGAATGAGAATAGCCTCCCATAGCAATTAGTTCCAGGGTTACTGTCTGTGCCTGGATTCTGCTGTGACAAAATATCCTCCTCCACAGACTGGGAAGCATCCATTATATGATGGTCAAGACCAGGATGAGGAAGTGAGTGTGCTTAGAAAGGTCATGTCGCTAGAGAGGGCCAGGATGACTGGTGAGCCCGGGCTGAAACAGAAAATACCAAACCTGGGAGGAAAACAAGAGTATGGTGTCCTGGAAGTTAAGTGAGGCAAACATTTTAAGGGTGACAGTTCAAGTAAGAGGAGGACTAAAAACTGACCACTGAGTTTAGCAATATGGCAGCCACTGGTGTCTGTGCAGTAGCAGTTTCAGTAAGTTATGGGCGTCAAAGCCTGACTCGAGTGGGTTTAATGAGGGAATGAGAGAAGAAGAGTTACACATAGTGAATATAACCACCTTTCTTCAAGAAGTTTTGTTGTAAAGGAAAGTAGGAAAGTGAAACAACAGATGGGAGGTAAGTAGAGTCCAGAGAAGAATTTTTAAAATAATTAAATGAGATAAAAAAATTATAACCTGATGGGAGTGATCCAACAAAGACAGAACTGGTAACAAATGAAAGAGGAGAGAATCGCTGGAACTTTGTCCTTAAATATGTGAAAGGCTGGAACCAAGTATGAAAGTGGAGGGTTTGTGCTTAGAAGGAGCAGGACAGATACTCTATAGCAACAGAAGGGAAGGCAGACTGCGTGGGTGCAAATGCTGGTAGGTGGGTAGATGGTAGCGGGCATAGGGGGAATTATAACTGCTTGGATTTCCTCAGTGAAGGAGGAAGCAAGACCGTTAGTCCAGAGCGATCTTTTGCTTCCCCAGAGTAACACCCAACAGTGGCCACATGTTGCTCTTAGAATGAAATCTACCAGTGGTCAGTGAGATCCTACTTGACTTGACACATGCCTCCCACACACTGGACATTTCTGTTCCTCCAACATTACAGGCTTACACCTCCACACCTTCACTGGTGCTGCTGCTTCTAACTAAAACCTATTTTCTCCTTCTTTGTACTCGGCTGAATTTGCGTCATCCTACAGGCTCATCCTCCTCTGCGTGGTCTTTCTTGATAATCTCACAGCATGGCCACCACCATCCGTCCCCAGGTACTCTCTGTCATGTCACCTTGTTTAGTTACTTATCATAATTACCAGAACATGTCAGAAACTGCCTTGCCATTTATTTCTTGTCTTTGTGTCCCTTCCGGGAGGATGTAAACTCTTTGAGAACAGAAAGATATTTTCCGTCATGTTCAACAGGGCGTATCTCAGGATTGGTGTGATGTTTAATTACCAATAGTCTTACTCGTTGAATAAATGAATGGACAAGATCAGAGGGAGACGTCTATGTCCCTTCCCCAGACTGCCAAAATTTTCTCAGAAATAGAGTAACGTCTAAAAATCTCCAAGGATCTACTGCATACAGTTTGCCAGATCAATGGAGGATCTGTAACTGTGAGATGAAGGTGATTCGCTAGTAAAAAAAAAAAACAAGAAAAAGCTAAGCTGTTCTTGTCTGAATGCCAAAATCTAATTCTCAAACATGAATAATTCATAAAAAAATAAGGCATACACCAAAACACTAACATTGGTTTCTTAGAGTGAAGGCATGTGGATGATTCAAATTTTATTTATATTTTGGTTACACATATTTTTCAAATTCTATAATTTACATGTATATGTTGGATGGTGAAAAGACAGCCATGGTTTACCAGTATCAATTCATCATTTAAGAAAATGCATGTCTAAGACCCAGTTGACACATGCCCTGTTACACTTCCTGGGTCATACATCTCCTGTCCTCAATGACTTCAGCATTGGCTCAGTTTTCTTTTCAATCATAATCCCTTTTTTGGCACCTCCAATATCCTCAGGGATGACTCATCTCTGAATCTGGCTTCGCTTTAACTTCCTCAAATGTAATGCCCTTCACTTCTGCTTCATTTATTACACATTCAGCACAGTTATACACACTACTGGATCATCTTTCGAACTACTTCCAAGATTCTTAATCTAAAAGCTTCCCTCTCTGACCACAAACGGGTAAATTCACACCACTTCCGCTGGTCACAACAATGCAATCAGCCCTTTGCCACCGCACGATGTCCAGCC